AAAATAAAAAAAATCGAAAGATTTATGTTCCATTTAGAATTGTTATTATAAAATATAAAATAAATTATCATCTAAAAATACGTATTAGATATTAAAAACATGTTTATATCATAAATAAATTAAACTTGATTTTTATAAAATTTAACATATTTATTTTATATTTTTAATAGTGTTGAATTATTATAAAGTAGGTCTTTAGGGTTGTAGTTCTAACAAAAAATTTTAAAAATGTCTATGATAGATATATAAGTCATACTTAGAATATATATTTTTTTAAAAAGTTAGGTTCAAACCTATTAAATTATAATAAAATTTAGTCTAACCTAATTTATTTTCATTCGTAAATATAATAAATTGTAAAAAATAATTATGATAATATATTTATATTTTTAAAAATTATATATATAAAATTTTTAATATTATAAATATATAAATAAGTATTGCCCCCACTATCTAAAATTTCTAGATCTTTCAATGAATACTAGAATTATGATAAATAAATATATATTCTAATAATTCGTAACGAAAACATGTATATATTCTAAGCTTCAAAGATACTCTCCTTAACCTACTAGCAAGTCCACTAGTTTTTTTTTTTTTTTAAACTATAGGTAATAAAATATCATTATATACAAAGAGAGGAAGAAATATACGATCCGTTAAATACCATATGTAGTAACATATTTCATTCTACAATTTATAACAATTTTTTTATTGATAAAAAATTTAGATAAGTTGGTTTTTGCCCTTCTAGTAGCTCATAATATTTAATATACATAATAACTTTATCATATTTTGAAATAATGAACCAGTTAATTTTAATCAATCAATTAAATTATTTATTTGATTTAACTAATTTAAATTTCCACTTTAATTATGTATAAAAATATTAATAGAATATTTTTAGACTTAAACTGTTCTACTTTGACAATGATACAAATAAGTTATTTATACTTGACTCTCCTTGAAACCTAATGTTGTACTATATTTAACTTGATTAAGATGGATTTAACATTGTGGTTCAGTAGGATTTAGCCACTTAAATTAGTCACTTTGTTGTAAGAGAGATCCTTTTAGTTGTTAAGCGTGACAGCACATATGTTATATCTATTGTATGATAATTTTTTTACTAAGGTTGGTTTGTTGTATGACATTGCATGATGCTTCTATTACTAAGTTAAATTTGTTGAGCTGTGTATGTAGAAGTTGTATGTTGAAATAAATGATTATTCCTTAATTGATTTAATCATTGTCTAATATTATTGCATCATGTTTATTTTATTTCATAAACTTACCCTTCTATTATTTTTCTCATGATTGGAACTGTTATGATCATACTTGGTATGAGAATAGGTCAAGATTAATTAGATACCTGAGTTGATTGGTGGTGAGTCATGTTAGAGACACTCTTTTTGGAGATCATCATTACAGTAGGACAATAGTTTTACTTTGTAGATCCTTGATTGACGGTCTACGAATTATATTTGTATATGGTGTCTATTTTAGTATGCTTCTTGGACATATGTAATGGATTGGATTATTGGTGCATGATTATCACTACAATTACTATTATTATTAATTAATTTGTTTTTTTACGTTGTTATTGAACTATATTATGTGTAGTGATGTATTAAATCGTTATATTTACCTTTTATCATTGACAAGTTTTGTAAAAATAAATAAATAATAATATGAAATAATTATTGCAAAAAGTAATTAATCAAACAATCAATAAATTAAATGATTTAATTAATTAATTGTTAAATCCCACGTGGCTACGTATATTGCTTTATTGCTTCCGGCAAGCTGGTAAACAGGAGACAGACACTCTTGTTTCATACAATGAATTTGCAATATTTAATGAACTACGGTTAGTATCTAAATAACCAATGTTTTAAAAGCCCATATTTAAACCAGTGAAACTGAAAACATTTATTCACAACTTATTGGTTCAAATTTGATTAAATTAAAGTCAAATTGGAAGTAATTAAATTTATCTTCAACATACTAATTTTTAAAATAATAATATAAATGCAATAATGATTATTTTGTGATGCTAATTAACAAACGTACTAATACGTTATTCGCAATGTTTATTTCCAAACACGAGTTTACCTCGTCAAAAAAATTCAGTAATATGTTGGCATAAATATGTGGATTCTTTTAAATCGCATTTACATAGATGTTGAACTTTTGGAATGGAGAAGATGAAGAACCTACATAACTAATTCTACTGCATAATCAAAATCTTATCTCTCTCCTTAATTTATATATGGATATGTCATATGTTTCAATAAGCAAGGTCCAAACTTGACATTATGCCTTCGGGGCTAAACGACCATTGTAAGGTACTTTTGGAAACTATATACGAAATTGGGGGTAGTTTTGAAATATTTTACGCCTTTGGGGCTATATTCATGTGTGTCGCTATGGGCCATAGCGACACACATGACACGTGACAATCCTGGGCCTGAAGATAAGCCATGAAAGTCATATCA